CACACACACACACACCCCACCCCGCTGACCCACCCCCCGCAAACACACACACCAGCCGTCGGGAAAGGGGCCCTCGGACAACTTCCAGAAAGGACCGCATACATACAAGCCCAGCTCCCATCGCACAACTGAGTTCCAAGCCCCCCGCCGCAGTCCAGCCTGGGGGCCCGTGGACCCCATCCCTCTCAGCGCACAGAAATCTTAGGTGAATACACCACATGGCCAGTGCCAGTGTGCCAGCTCCTCACTAGAGGGGGCCACTCCTTGCTCTGACTTGCTCCTGCTAGTGTAGACCATGAACTTGGCAAGAAAACGGGTTAGAACTGTGTATAAAACACCGAGTGGGCTTTGGTTCAGCTGTAAATAAAGGACACGAAGGTTAGGCGTGTCCTCTGGCTGCTCCGGGGCCTTCGTCCTCCTTCCCTCCACACTCAGCTGAGCTCCAGACACAGGCGAAGCTGCAGAAGGGCCACAACCTGGGTGGGGGATGGGTGGGAGAGTGGCACTATAAATGTCCCTGCCCCAGCAGCCACCAGGAGAACCTGGTCGAGGAGTCACTCTTGAGAGCCGGGCCTCCAGTGGGTCGCCTTGCACCCGGAAGACGTGGGCAGAGGAAATGTGCGCTCTGTATCTGCCTTAACGCTCAACCCCACTCAAGACTTCTCCCTGTGAACAGGTCTCCCTTCAACCTCTGCTCCATCCAAGGGCAAGGGCAGTAAACACCCCAAGGCCTCTGCCCCTCAAGTGGCCTGCTCACTTTTTCCAGGGTGATGGTGTTCTTCCTGGCCTGAGTCACCAGGGCGGCCATCTCGGCCTTGAACCGCTCCACGTCCCTGCACTCACTGGCCCGGGCGTGATGCAGGATGAGCTCAGCCACCCTCTGGCCCTGCAAGACGTGAAAGAAAGGAAACTCGGTAGAGTCAAGAGGCCATAAAACTGGACACTCTGCCCAAACTTCTTTATATTCTAGTTGCTTCCACCTCAGTTTTCTACCATCCTGAACTTTTCTAATTATACCCACTCCAAAATACCTGGTGACCAAACAAAGACTTTCAAAGCCTCTGTCGGTCGCTGGGAGCCCACAGGCTCCAGTGCAGTCAGGGCAAGGGGCTGTGTTTGCCTCCTTCACCTTCAACAGCCACACAGGGGACGGGGCAAAACCAGTGCCCTGCTGCTCATGCTCCACGAGGCACTGCCGACCAACCAGCCCATCCCCCAGAGTCACCAGGACCTGCTGCTGGACCGGACCAGCCACACTCTCCTCGTGGGCTCTCTCCCCGCCCGAGGAGAAATCCCTCCTCACACCCGACCTGACCTCTGCACTCCAGCCTTCCGCCTCCTCTGCCCAGGGCGCCCTCCGACCAGAGAGCCTCCCGGTCTCCCCGAACACCCGAGTGATCACTACAATGCCTTTCACCTCCCACAGAGCCACCCCAGGAGCCAAGCTCTGTCTCCCCAACTTGCGCAGGGGAACGTCCCCCCACCCTCCACCTGCCACTGCACCTCAGTGTTTAACCCTGGCCCAGGGGATGCTTTCATACGGTCTCAGGCTCGAGCCTTTGGTTTGTCCCCTCAGAAGCCTCCTAAATAAGCAGAGCCTCCCCTGAATTTTGCTGTTTTGTTTTTTAAACCAGCTCTCTCTTTGGCAGGGTCTTTTTTGCTAGAAAATTCCACATCATTGGCCAGAGGGTTTCTTCATTGTCACTCTTGATGTAGTACCTGAAATTGACTCTGTGGAGGTTTTGCTGAATCCCTTTCTGTAAATAATCACTCTCAGCAACTGGAGCCCCCCCGAGCCACAGGGTTGGGGGTTAAAGACCACTCCAGATTCCAAGGTTTCTCCCCACACTTGGAGAGTAGGTTCTCTAAGCTGCTGCTTCTCACCAGCCTGCCGTCTTGCAGCAAATGGCACAGGCCAGGCCAGCCGTTATTCAGACGAGAAGCCGGCATTCCCAGTGCCCACCCACATGCCTGCTGAGGAGGGAAGAGAAACTACCAGTACGAGACAGCATTCGCGATGCTGTCCCAAACTGTGAGCTGCTTAGAACGGGTGTCACGCGTGGGCATCGGCGCGTTCTGACCAAAGACCCCTTGGATAGCTTCATTTCCTCTCCTCTCCTTCCCTCTCCCCGCTCCACTCCACTCCACCTGCGTCCATCAAGAGCACCCCTGGCCAAGGCAGGCATTAACAAGATTGACAAGGGAAACCCCACAGTTTCCAAGAGCCTAAAAGATCATCTCCGATTCCTGCCGGCCCAGTGGGTCTCACCTGGCCCATCGCCACAGCCATGAAAACTGCTCGGAAGTTGCTCAGGTCGGCATCCTGCAGCTCGGCCACGATGCCGGCATCCAGCAGCACCAGGCGCAGCGGGCATGGGGCAGGTGTCATGGCCATCACCAGGGTATCGCAGACATCCACCTGCTGCAGCCGTGCCTCTTGACTCTTGGAAAGACCGTCGGCGCCCTGGACCAGGATATTCCCAGGGTGGAGGTCTGCATGGACAAAGTTGTCCACAAATATCTGGAAGGAGATCAGTGCTATTCAAGGCTGAGACACCACCCATCACCATCAGACCACACGTGAAAAAGCTTCCGGGACAGGGGTGGGGGCTGCCTGGGTGGCTCAACCGGGTAAGTGTCCGACTCTGGGTTTCAGCTCAGGTCATGATCTCAGGGTTCACGGTTTGTAAGTTCGAGCCCCACATCGAATGAGTACAATGGCAAAGAGGTGTACATTTTATAAAGCCTCGTGGCTTCTGTTCTCACTTCAGAATTTGTACTGCCGAAGGCCAGGTTGACATTTTTAAGAGAAAAGTTATTTTCAAAGTAAAGAACATTAAAAAAGATTAGAAGGGAACATGAAAAATCAAACGCCAAACTGCATTTCAAAGGACTTATTTTTATACTGTAGTTTGAGCAATTGATATTCTAATTACGAATTATCTACTCATTGTTTAAAGGTTCCCCCAAATTCTATGTTCTTAAAATTCGTGGAACCACCTTTTTAGGAAAACATTTCACTAATCAGATATCCCCTCCATTCCCTCCATCCGTCCACACGGTAGAGTCTAACCATGATACCAACAACCCACACTGGCACACAGCATCGGGTGGGTGGGGAGAAGTGGCTTCGAACCTACTAAGCAGGAAAGAAAGCCCCAGGACGATGCCGGACAGGAAGTCAGGTGTGACTTGGTGGGACAGGATCTGCCTCCTATGAAAGCTCATCTCTGTGGTCAGAAACCACCAGCAATCCTTCCAAAGGGGAAGAAGAGCCTCAGAGGCTCTCAGGGACACCCTCCTACCTCCTACTGGCTGCAGACCCAGGCCAGAGGCCCTCCTGGGCCAGGTTCTGGCCGTGAAGGAGGTAAGAGAGGCCGCTGCCCTGGTGAAAATCCTGGAACTAGAGAAGCCAGGGCTGGCACACCCGCAGGATGTGGTTTCCAGAGGCTGGCTGACCCCTGACCCCGGGCTGAACCCCCTGGCACCTTGCTGTCCCCTTGGCCCCCCAGCTTTCACCCCCACCCTTGATTCTGCAAGCTGGAACCCATCACGATCGCCCCAATTCTGCGTGCTATTTCCTGCTGCCTTCCCCCCTGGCTGCCCCCACCGCACCCTCCCCTCTGACCCAAGGTGCCCCTTGGAGCCCTGTTGCTGGGGACAAAGTCCTCTCCCCACTGAACTCCCACTGCACCGACTGAGAGAACACCCAGCTCTCCCCAGACAATCTGGCTTCTCTGGGAGTAGCTGGTGGGGGGGGGGGGGGGGGGGGGGTTGCTGCTGACTTTCCACCAGAGGCCAGAGGTGGAGTCGAGGCCTGCTCTGAGCTCCTCTTCTCACCCCTGCCCTGCTCTGGCCACTGGCCTCGGCCCCCACTGCTCCATGCCAGTCACACAGGTTCTTTCTTCCCACTCTGCCGACACACCTGGTTCCTTCTTACCCGTATTCCACATGCTGCAGACCTGGGCTCGTATCCTCTCTCTTGCCGACAACGTGCCGTCCATCCCTCAACCACTCCTTTCTGTGCCAACTGCCAGGGAGAGTCCAGACCCTGGATAACCTCAGTACCTCAGTACCCACTTTCTTTACTCCTACACGTGAGCTGCTATCAATCCCAGTTGCTGCTGTTAGTACTAATGATGACAGCGGAAGCTAATACTGCTTAGGGCTCACTGTGTCCTTTTACGGGCATCAGCTCATTTACATCATTAGGCTGAGCCCTCGTAGGTGACACCTAGACTTCCTCTACATCTCAGCTCACATGGCATCGCTTTCTGAATGAATCCTGAGGCTAGGACGGGCCCCACCTAAATGACCCTCTTGTGCCTGTGTATCATTTACTCATCTGTGGCCTGTCTTCCCAATGAGTGACAGTTCCATGAACGTTGTGATCATATCTGTTTCGCTCACTACTGTAAAGTCAGCACTCAATTTAGTTCATTGAGCACAGAGAGGGTGCTCCATAAACACTGCTGAATGAATGAAGTACCATTTAATATACGGTATCTTCCGCTGTTTGTCTAAACCGTAGGCAACTTGGGCAGAGCCTGGGTCTTGCTCCCCACTCTTCCCACAGCACCCTGCATGGTGACCAAGCACATGCCACCAAGAAAGCGCTTAACACAAAGATGTAGAATGAATGGTCGTGGTGGGTGGCTCAGCTCTTCCTAGAGCAGATTTTCAAGATGGCGGCTTGCTGCTTTCCTCATCTTCCCGCCCATGGGAGCCAACCAGTGTCTCCACCATCTTCCCACGTGAGATTTGACCACATGCTGGGCTGGGGCACCCTCTCCATGCCCATGAACTCACCATCTTCAGAAGCATGTTGATCCCCAGCCGTGCAATCTTCTTCTTCAAGTCTACAGGAATCCCCGCCTGCTGGTAACTGGACACAGGCACACTTTCCTTGAAGAAAGGTCAAGGAAGAGACAGCTTTACCCTGAAAAGCCCGCCGAACACCCCACGTGTTCCGCATCCCCACATGACACATGGGCACTGCCTTCCCATCCCTACTCTTCTCAAGAGTTTTTCCTTCCTTAGAATCCCTATGAATCTGTCACCCACAAGTTAATTTTAATCTACTTACTTATCCCTTCTAGAACACTTCTCAAAGGAAAACAAGTCCCATTTTACAGAGGAAACCCACAACTCTGTCCCCCACAGGTAAGAGATGCTGTAAGATGGTGGGAGAAGACGTGAACAGACCCCAGGAGAACTAGATTCTGATCAAGAGTCAGTCAACAGGGACGTGAATGAGCTCTATGGCCTTGGGCAGGCAAATGGAAAGGACGATGAAAGGGCAGAGACAAGAAAGAGCTAGTAAAGAAACAGTTCTCACAGGTTAGTTATTTAATTGTCAAAGCAGCCCGCTAAGACAGATCTTGTTATTCCTCGGGAGCAAATAAAAGAACTAAAGCCCAGAGAGTTTAAATAACTTACTCAAGATCACACAGCTAGTAACACCGGGTCATTCGTGTCACTTCCCTGGATCTCACCATTACTATCTTTACAAAGGAGGCTGAACCAGGCAACAGCTAAGGGCAATGATGTGACACAAACATTTGCCGAACACTTTCTCTGTGTAAACTCTGCTGAAGGCATTTTGTATTCAATGTGTCACTGTGTCCTAGAACAACCCTATGAGGCAGGGGCAGGTACCTGCTGTTATACACCAAGAAACCGAAGTCACCAGCAAATAAAATGGAAAGCAGTTTTTCCGACAGAACGGAAGAAGGTATTTGCAAACGACATATCAGATAAAGGGTTAGTATCCAAAATCTATAAAGAACTTATCAAACTCAACATCCAAAAAACAAATAATCCAGTGAAGAAATGGGCAAAAGACATGAATAGACACTTCTCCCAAGAAGACATCCAGATGGCCAACCGACACGTGAAAAAATGCTCAACATCACTCATCGTCAGGGACATACAAATCAAAACCACAATGAGATACCAGCTTACACCTGTCAGAATGGCTAACATTAACAACTCAGGCAACGATAGATATTGGTGAGGATGCAGAGAGAGAGGATCTCTCTTGCACTGCTGGTGGGAATGCAAACTGGTGCAGCCCCTCTGGAAAATAGTATGGAGGTTCCTCAAAAAATTAAAAATAGAACTACCCTATGACCCAGCAACTGCACTACTAGGTATTTATCCAAGGGATACAGGTATGCCGTTCCGAAGGGACACACGCACCCCAATGTTTATAGCAGCACTATCAACAATAGCCAAAGTATGGAAAGAACCCAAATGTCCATCAATGGATGAATGGATAAAGAAGATGTGGTGTATTTATGTATGTAAGTATGTATGTATGTACATACGTACAATGGAGTATTACTCGGCAATCAAAAAGAATGAAATCTTGCCATTTGCAACTATGTGGATGAAACTAGAGGGTATTATATACTAAGCAAAATTAGTCAGAGAAAGACAAAAATTATACGACTTCACTCATATGAGGACTTTAAGAGACAAAACAGATGAACATAAGGGAAAGGAAGCAAAAATAGTATAAAAACAGGGAGGGGGACAAAACATGAGACTCTTAAATATGGAGAACAAACAGAGGGTTTACTAGAGGGGTCTGTAGGAGGGGGCAATGGGCTAAGTGGGTAAGGGGTGTTAAGGAATCTACTCCTGAAATCATTGTTGCGCTATATGCTAATTTGGATGTAAATTTTAAAAATAAATTAAATTTAAAAAAATAAAATAAAATAATAAAGTAAAATAAAATCTCTGTCAATTTGATATATGAAGAAAAAAAAAAAAAAGAAAGCAGATTTTCAAGTCCAGAAAGTCTGAAGCCACGCCCAGGCTCCCAGCCACCCCGATACACGACCTCCCTGCCTCATGCCACAGCTGAGTTGCCCTCAGTTTCTCTTGGCTTTTGCCTTTTCAGACTGAACAGCGGAGATGGCCCAGCTGTGAGTGGAAGGCACGGCCTGGGAAGCGCTCACTCTTACTTCATAAGTTTCCACCAAGACGTCCCTGGTGACAAAGGGACGCAGAGGGGTGGGGAATTTGACGGAATTCACATTCAGGAAGTTGCACTGGAAGTGTTCTAGGTTCCGAGCTTCGTAACGCAGGTCGATCTAGAGGGAAGTGGAGAGAAAAGATGAGGGGTAACCTGGGCCCAGGGAGAGCAGTATCTGGATGGCCAGCAAGCTAGCAAGTCACCACGTGCAGCGACCTTCTGCACCTGCCTTCTTGCAGAACTCCTCAGGAGACAAGGGAGGGCGGTTTTGGCCGCGGGAACTCCTGGAAGCCACAGCTGCAGACCCCCTCGCCGCACTTGGGACTCCACTGCCTCCCCGCTATTCCCTCTCTGCCCACCCCACGTGACTCCAGGCCACGGAGCCCTTGCCCATGTCCCAGGGCTTTCTCTCCCTTGCCCTCCGGTGGCCCTCTGGCCTCCCTAGACCTGTCCCCCTCTTAAGGTCCACCTCCATCGGGGGCCGGCGCTGCCCTCTGCCCACTGCGCCGACGCAGCTCCCTCCGCTCGGCAAGCCGTTCCCTTGCCACTCAAGGGACCGCTCCCATCTCTCCAGGCACCTGCTACCGGTGCCCTTGATGACCCTGTTCCTCCTGAACAGTTCTCTTGGCACCCACCTTCCCTCCCCCGGTCTTCCCCCTGCCTCCAACCGCTCCGTCTAGGTCTGGTCTCCTGGCCACTCCTCCCCTGTGTGCCCCCACGCGGTCTCAGCTGCTGACCTCCGCCAGCCTCCACTCTCCCTCTCCATCCCCTCACGTCCTCAGCCAGCACCTCCTCACGACAGAACCGTGGTCTCCCGTCCAGACCCCGCTACCAACTCCACACTTCTTTTCCTAGAAGCCCACACTCCGTGTCTTGAATGGAGTCCACGTCTCAACGGAATTTACTCCCCCCGCCCCCCATGCAGCCAGTCACCTGGGAGTCACTGCAGATTACCCCTCTCTTGTCCTCCACACTATTTGTGACTCCAGGCCACCAAGGCTGCAGCCACACCTCTCTCGGATCCACTCCCCCGTTTCCCCCCTCACTACAGCTCCCAGGGTGACTCCCAGCCAAAAGAGGCACTGGGCTCCTTGACCCCCATCTTCCGTCTCTCTAATCCATCTGCCGGTGCCCCCTACCACCTGTAGGACGAAGTCTAAATTCTTTAGGATGACATCCAAGGTGGCTCACTGTTTGGCCCCCACGGCTCTCTTCAGCTCCATCTCTTTGTGCCTCCCGCTTCCTCCGCCTCCCAGAACTCTAGCTTCAGCCAGTCTATACGGTGCTGAACATCCTGGCCTGCCTCAGGCTCCCCATCCCCTTCGCCTTCCTTAGTCCCTCAGACGGGAATGTTCTTCCCCCATTTGGTCCAACTGTAAACACCACTCACCTTTCAAGACTCAGCTGGAGTCTGGGGAGCCTGACCCTCAGGATAGAATGACCACTTCCCCTCTCGGGCCCCAGCTCCACCCAAGTGAACCTGGAGAGACTCCTACTATTACCGGGATCGTGCTCTTTTTGCAGATATTTATGGGCCAGTCCCCTTCTGCGTACTATATATTCCTTATGGACGAGAAAATCTCACCCATCACCCCATGGTGTCTATTGGACTTCGAGGAGGGGTGGTAGGAATGACAGTGACGCAGAGATGGTTGCTGGCATAGAAGCTATTTCCTCTATTTTAATTTTCTTTTATCATGGAAACTACGTCGCCGGCAGCATAAAGCAAAGCTTTCTGAACATTCAAAGGCATCCCCGGGACTTAAAACCTTCCATCAGAGGACAGAAATGAAGACTGAGCACCTTGCTTTTGAAAGACGGCCAGTTTCTGCACTCTCCAACAGGGAGCCAGTGCACTTGCCTACTTGAAGCCCCGGCTGCCCCCAAAACATGTTCACCAAGTCCAGCTACTTAAACAAGTATCCCAAGGGTCCTGGACAGGGAGCAGGTCCTTGTCTACTCAAAAACCCTGGAAACGAAACAAAGCAAAGGCACAGTGTGTGACTTCACCAATTCTTCTCGCCCTGGAGATCAGCCATCGATTGTGGCACAGACAACACAGATGACACAGATAACACCAGGATCCTGGGACTTTCCTCCCAGGTGCTAAGGAAGATGGTGTTTCCCAGGCACCCTTGCGGTGACATTGGGCCCGTGCGATTAAAGCTCTGACCTGTAGACTAAGAAGGCCACAGTGGCCTCTCTCTCCACTCCACACGGACCCTAGATGACCCAGGTTGAAGATGGCAGCACCCAACTTGGGAGGAAATTGGGTCCCTGATAACCATGAAGTAGAGTCCCCTCTCCCTCCTTCGGCTCATCTGCATGGCACTTTGATACAAGAAATAACCTCGCTGCACTTGGCCTCTGAGATTGGGGTATTCTTTGTTATGTCAGTTAGCAGTACCTACCCTGGCTGCTACACCACACGAGCCACGACATTCTAGGAAATCACGCATTCGTTCAGCATTTACGAAACAGCCAACGTCAAGAACTATGTTAGATGCTATTTACAACCGAGGGAAGGAGGCTTCACCTGATGGACCATGAGCTTCTCAAATTCCTCCACAATCTCCGGCAAGCTCAGCCACTTGACTCCTGGCAAAAGCGCGAGGACTCGGCTGCCCGTCTTCATCAGCAGCAGGTCCATCTGTACCTGAGACAGCAAGCCAGGGTGCAACACCTGCCGGGAAGACAGACAGAAGAGGGATCAGGAGGGCACATTCACCCAGACAGGGCTGGGTCCCACCATCAAAGGAGAGCCAAGCCCGATGCTCATCAGAGCAAAACCGGATGTGGTCCCGACAGCCGGGATGCTCCTGCCGCCCTCACTCCCATGTGCCTTCGATAAGGAGATGCTCAGGGCAACTCCTCTCTGCTGCACTTGGCTTTGCTGGGAAGAAGAGACGGGCTTTTCCTTCCAAATACATTAAGGTTAGGTCAGTGGCTCCCAAACATTAGCATGCATAAAAGTCACCTTGGGGTGCCTGGTGACAACAAAGACTGCTGGGCCTCCTTTAAGACCTAGTGAATCACCTACCCTGAGGATGGGACCAGAAATCTGCATTTTACTGAGAGAGCGCACCAGGTAAATGAGTCAGGTAGTCCAAAGCCTGAGCCGGATACGGATCTAGAGTCACAGAACTCCAGCAAGGATGCACCACGGTGGGACGGGAAGAGTCTGCTTTCAAATGCCTGTTTATTCTGCAACTCTTGCCCAGTCCGAAACTGGGCACGTACTCAACCTCTCAGCCTCCTGTTCCACTTTTTAAAGTTTTCTGGCTTTTCTTCCTTTTTCTTTTTAGAGAGAGAGAACACATCCAAGTTGGGGAGAGGGGCAGAGGGACAGAGAGAGAATCTCAAGCAGACTCCATGCTCAGCGTGGAGCCTGATGCAGGGCTCGATCTCACAACCCTGGGATCACGGCCTGAGCCAAACTCAAGAGTCGGACACTCAACCTACTGAGCCACCTGGGCGCCCCTGTTCCACTTTTGAAAACATGGAGATAACAGTCCCTACCTCCACTTCAAGTCCTTTCCGGAATAAAATGGGAATATAAATAAATAGAAATTAAAGAAATGCCTACTTCAAAGGCATCAAGAACAGATTAAATCATGCATCTAACATGCAGAACATAACATCTGTTCTTTAAGAACAGATTAAATCATGCAGGCACCCACTCCTTGCCTTCCACAGAGCAGAGGATACTTTGGTCCAGTGTTCCCCAAACATGCCTACTCATGAGAATCACTTGCAGCCTTTATAAAAAGACAGGCCTCAGCTTCCTCTCTTGGAAAGTGTGATTCAGTAGGTGTGAACTGAGGAACGCTTGGGAGGTTTTTTTCCAAGGAGGTGTAAGAGAGCATCAGGGGTACCTGCTACCTGGGTCGGCCAGATCCCCGGGGTCATGCTGAAAGGGAATGGAAAAGTGTGGAGACTAAAAAATGATGGAGCCCAGGCAGGGGTGACTAGAAACGAAGAGGGGCGCCTGGGTGGCTCAGTCGGTTGAGCATCTGACTTCGGCTCAGGTCATGATCCTGTGCTCCATGGGTTCGAGACCCGCGTTGGGCTCTGTGCTGATGGCTCAGAGCCTGGAGCCTGCTTCAGATTCCATGTCTCCCGCTCTCTCTGTCCCTCCCCCACTCTGTCTCTCTGTCTCCCAAAAGTAAATAAACATGTAAAAAAAAATTTTTTTAATAAAAAAAAAGAAATGAAGAGACAAGGGAGCCACTTCTGTAAAAATGAAGACTGCCATCTTGGGCTCACCACATGGTATCTAACCTAGACTGTCTGTGACTTACCCTGACCCCAGAGTAGTGGGTCCATTGGGTGGTTCCTCTAGCCACAGAGGCAGCGGACCCCAAACCCTCTTCGTTTTCCTTTACTGGACTATTCACACAACCACTCCCTAGAACCAAGAAATAACAGCTTGCAAAGCATAGGCAGTCAGATAAAGGTCAAGCTAACAGAAATCAGTGGAAGGTAATGTGGGGTGATTTGCAAATGGGGGTTTCTGATTGGGGACAGCTCTGTGGGGTCGGTGAGATTTTAGAGACAGGAGGGACAGGTGACAACATCAGAGCACTTACTTTCACTGCCACAGGGATGAGGTGATCTGGCTCAGATTGGTGGGCAGGTGCTGAAGACTGAGACAGGACTGCATTTGATCCATCCGGGTCAGCTTTAGGGAGGAGCAGCCTTTCTAGAAATGACTGGTCGGCAAGACTTCCTTGAAACTTCCACCCCTTTCCCAGGGGTCCAAAGAGCTCTCCCAGCCTCCGGACTGCCCCAGCTTCTGAAGAAGGCTGCAGACTGGAGGCCTCGGCAAGTCTCTGGATGCTGACATTCTCCAGGAAGGCGGGATTTGCACGTGCTTTGTACACTTGGGCCACACAGCCTGAACCCACAGGTTCCTTCTTCTCAAAGCAGAGGACCCTTCCCCAGTCTTCCCCAAATGCCTGCCGCAGGAAGTGCTCAGTGTGAGTCCAAGGGTGGGGGGTCACCTGGACATGCAGCTTGGAGAACTGGGCACAGAAAGCCTCCGAGAAGAGATCCCGCCGGGTACTGGCCCACTGGCCCAGTTTGATGTATGTTGGGCCCGAGGTCTCCGTGGCTTTCAGAAGCAGATAGAGCCAGAGGCTGGAGATGCTGGGTGCCAGGTAGGTGAGGGGGTAGAAGAGAAGGAGGGGGAAGAATTTCATCAAGAGAGCCCCAGCCCGGAGCCAGATACGGAGGTGCAGAAGGAGGCATCCTAGCGGCCCCTCTTGGGAGACTCTCTGGGGTGGCCCATTTTCAGCTAGGTCACTCCAGCTGGCTCTTTGCTGGCACACGCTCTCATGGCCCCCCTCACCAACGTCTCCATAGGCTGAGATAAGTTTGGGTAAAGTGCCAAGCAGAAGCCAACAGAGTCTGGCATTACGAGAGCACCCAGATGATCTTAAAAGGCCGAGTTCCTGTCTGAGCTCAAAACCTCTTAGGTACGACAAGCAGACCCTAACAGAAAAACGCCAGGGGGTCACCATCCTCTCCCAGAGGTCCCCGGCCTAGGTTGCCCGCCCTCGACTTAAAGAGCACCCATCTATGTTCACGCTCTGGGCAAGGCTGACATGAGTCCAGGCCACAGCTGAGTATCCCACTTAAAAGTGGGGCAGCAGCGAGATGCGGCGACGCTCAGAGCCCGCGTGCAGGCTAACTACGCGAGTGCAAGCGGTGCTCAGTCTGGCTCCCGGTCCTGCCCTGCAGGGAGCGCCCCCTAGGCCTCGCAGCCCGGCCCCTCCGTCCCGGCTCCACCCCGAGCTCCCTCCCGGTACCTCGCCTAGACCTAAGGTCCGAGGCCGCCTGCGCCTTCGGGGGCTTTCAGAACTGCACCGACTGCGAGGGCCGGAGGGGCCGAGCCAGACGCCAGGCCAGGCCCAGAGCGGGGACGCGACCTGCTGCGAGGTGGCCGCGCAGGCGGAGCCACCCCACTCCAGGTCGCTGGCCGGGCACCCGCGGAGGGCCACAGCGAGGAGGGGCTGCGTGGAGGTGGGGGTGAGGGTCGTGGCGCAGAGCGCGGGTGCTGAGAGCCAGGAGGGAGGGGTGCGGGGGAGGCAGGAAGGTACACCCGGGTCAAGGGATTGAGAGCCGGGGCGGTGGGCGGTGCGGACCGCCGAAGACCCAGGCCCCGGGTACCAGGGTGGGAAGGAGGCTGGGGCCGGGAGGTGGCGGGGGGGTGGGGGGGGGCGGGTGCAGAGACCCAACGTTGAGGGCCCGAGGATCCGGACGCCGACAGCGGGAAGGGTGTGCGGAGGGCCGGCGATCGGGTTGGAGAAAAAGGGGGAGAGGGGCGAGGAGAGCGGGAGTCAGGCGGCCGGGGTCCGGGAGCCCAGAGCGGAAAGGGCGTGCGGGGGACAGGGGATCCCGGGGCCGAGGAACCCGCCGCCGAGAGCCCGGGACCGCGTGCGGAGGGCCGAGGACCCGGCGCAGAGGACACGCCGCCCGCGTCTTCCGGGAGCGCCCGGCGCGCCCGCTCGGGCACCTCCCCTTAAAGCGAAAGCGGCGCGGACGCGGCGGAGGCTCGTCCCCGCCCTCCGCTCCTGGACTGCGTAAATAGATTTCGCGCAAAACTCGAAGGGCCCTCCGCGCCTTCCCTTTCTGCCTGTGCTCTGGGTCTCCATGGACATCTTTACAGCCTTCCTTACAGAAATCGTGGAAACGCGCAGTGAACTGAAAGCCCGGTCTGCACACAGGTTGAGTGTTCAGCTAAGCAGAATGTGAGGAGGGTCGGGGAGGGAGGTGATCCTTGGACCAGGAGTACCAGGCTGCATTAATCTAGGGATGTGTTTGGACATTGGGGAGTGGCTAATGGCATATTCATTTAACTAATGCTTTTTGAGCCCAATATGTAACTCTTAAGCAGAATCTAGTAATATTATCGAGGCTCATAATATGTTCTGTTTTTAATTTTTTCAATGTATTATTATTTATTTTTGAGAGAGAGAGAGAGACAGTGAATGAGCAGGGGAGGGGCAGAGAGAACGGGAGACACAGAATCTGAAGCAGCTTCAGGCTCTGAGCTGTCAGCACAGAGCCCTTTGCGGGCTGGAACTCATGAACTGCGAGCTCATGACCTGGGCCAAAATCGGAACCCTAACCCCCTGAGCCACCCAGCCGCCTCGAGGCTCATAATATGTTCTGAACTAGGTATCACGCTAGGCCCGGGGACATGGAGACGCACATCCTGACTTTACAAGCTGATCACTTATGAGGGAGATCCCACAGGGGAACACATAATGTACAATTTCCAAGTGTGACACAGCATGAAAGAAAGGAAGAATCAGAAGAACCCAAAGCATGGCGACTACTTTGGACAGGAAGGGAGAGAGGCGTTAGGAGTGGGAGGGTGTTCAGATACATAAAGAATAAAGTCCTTGGGGCGCCTGGGTGGCTCAGTCGTTTGGGCATCCTGCTTCACACAGGTCATGATCTCATGGTTCTTGAGTTCAAGCCCGGTGTCAGGGTCTGTGCTGACAGCTGGGAGCCTGGAGCCTGCTTCTGAATCTGTGACTCCCTCTCTCTGCCTTTACCCCCGCTCACGCTCTGTCTCTGTCTCTCAATACAAAATATTTTTAAAAATAATAATAAAGTCCTCAAGAGGAAGGAGTTGAGTGTGAGGATGGGGGGGGGGTTGCTTTAACCTTGAAAAGCCAAAGGAAGGTCCCATGGTTCTAGACAACAAGGGGCGGAGAAACAGAGGTGATGGTGGGGGTAAGTGGGACGCTAGTGGTGGTGGTGATGGTGGCGGTGAAGGTGCAACTTAAGGAGCTACAGGCACCCAAGCAGGTGAAGTTGAGGGATTCCTGGGGCCCATGTGAATGTCAATGAGCAGAATGATGTTATGCATATTAAGGTACATGGACAGCAAAATCAGTTATATCAAATATGAACCCTAAGTCAGAACCTGTAAGGGGCAGCCTTTAAAAATCGCAGATGTTGCTGCAGTCAAGCTGCTTCTCACATGGGTCATTTTATGCAATCTGTTTCAGGATGTGTAACAGCAGGAGTGTATTTGGAATGATTAATGAATTAAGAGACTAAATATACAAACAGGGGTGCCTGGGTGGCTCAGTCGGTTAAGCATCCAGCTCTTGATTTCGGCTCAGGTCATGACCTCATAGTTTGTGGGTCTGAGCCCCACATCGGGCTCTGTGCTGACAACACCGACCCTGCTTAGAATTCTCTCTCTCTCAAACTTAAATAGAGAGACCAAATATACAAACAGACACTGGCCACATATATGACGGTGGAACTCTGACCTGCAGCCTCTGCGGTAATAGGTCCTGGACAGTCAGGACTCGGCCAATGACTGCCAGCTTCTCTAATTTTCATCCCCAACTTCCATCTCAGGACCAACCACGGGAAGCCAAATGTCTGCTCCAAACCGGTCACAGGAGATGCCCAGGCCCCCGGCGTCCCTGTGCCAACAACCTCCAATTAGGGCCCCTTTGGTGCCTTTTTTTTCTGTATAACCTGTCTCCACTTGTATTTGAGTCTCTGCCACATGCAAGTGATGATGGCTGACCTCCTTGCTATAGAAAGCTCTGGATAAACGGCCTCCGTTTGTTCTCACTTGGGTGGTCTCCGGTTTTTTTCCATAGAATTTTCGTGACAGCTAAGCCCGCTAACTATTCATAGCTTCCAGTTCTCGGAGATGCTCCTGCGTATGCTGTTAACTCTGCCACCACTAGGTGGCACCATTCTCTCGTGACCTGCAACCGAGGCTTCCTCGGGGTTCCCAGACCTGACGGTGCGGGAAGAGAATTGCAAAGGCCCACCTGGCTGTGCTTATCTTTTTACGTGATCCAAATGACTGTGATTTTAGCATTTCCCATGGAACATTGTGACAGAGCAGATGTGATGCAGGGCCAGTGCTTGTTCAAAGCCCCAGGATAGGGGATAAAGATGCAGGATTGGCTGGCTTCAGAGTTCTCAGCCTCAGCACATTTGACATTTGGGGCAGGATAATTCTTTGTTGCGTGTGAGGAGGGGTGGGCAAGGGGGAGGGGAAACCGAACGGTGCCTTGTAGGATGCTGGAACCCACTTGATGCTGGAAACCCCCTTTCCCGATTATGACTTTAAAATATGTCTTCATGGGGCGCCTGGGTGGCTCAGTCGGTTGAGCGTCCGACTTTGGCTCAGGTCGTGTTCTCGC